TCTCTCTCTCTCTCTCTCTCTCTCTCTCTCTCTCTCTCTCTCTCTCTCTCTCAAATAAATAAATAAATAAATTTAAAGAGTGCACGGCGGAAAACTGCCAAAAAGGAGGAAGGTGAGGAGGAAAGCAATGAGGAAGAGGAGGAGGAAGATGAAGAGGAGTCTGAGGCAAAATTTGTTAAGGTGAAAATCAAGTTCAATAAGAGAGATGAGAAAGGTCGGGACAAAGGAAAAGGCAAGAAAAGGCCAAATCGTGGGAAAGCAAAGCCAGGGGCGAGCGACTTTGACAGCGATGAAGAGCGGGATGAAAATGGCCAGTCAGAAGAAGTGAGACTGATGATGAGGGATCCCCGTGGAACTGAATACTTTTCCTCCCCTCTCCCATTTCTACCCAGTGGCTTCATGTGTCCTGTGGGCACTGTGCTCTTTCTGTGTCCTCCTCCTCATCTTATAAACTAGCTTTAGAATAGTGCCAAATAAACATATGATATCATGGTGTAAAAAACACAAAGTTTGTAACATATTGTGACAAAAGGGGCCCCAAGGATTCAAAGATTAAAACAAACAAAATCTTTTGATGGAAAACATGGGTGGATAGTATATTTCTATGGGTGGGTCTAATTTGGTAAATGAAAAGAAGAGTATTAAAATATATAATAAAATTGCATAAGTTCCTCACCACCTATGTGAAAAAAATGTTATATACACTTGTAAACATAACCAAAACATACAAACTCTTCTGGATAAGTAGCTTCTATGTACAAAAATTAATAACTAGGTACCAAGGTACAGAAAGGGTATAACTGGAGACAAAAGATGACTGCTCTGAAGAAGTCTTTAAGGCTGGCATGATAGCTCAGAGGCTAAAGTGCCTGCTTAGGCAAGCGGAGGGACTGTGGTTCAATCCCAGCACCACATACCATGCCAGTCCCACTTTTTCTTTTTCTAGTGCTAAATCACACTATTCACCTTTCATTTACAGGAAAAATCAATGAAAATTTTTGTGTGTTGTTATTCAAGCTTTCTGTGCCTTGTATTTTTGCTGGTTGTCCTGGAGAAAACTTGTCAGACTGTGGTGAATTTAAAATTATCTTTCATGCTTTCTCTTGAGCACAGTACTTTCACACACATACTTTAACACATTTAATGTTTACTGTAAGCTCTTCTCCAAATTATCTAGTGGTTTCTTAAGGTTGGGAGGTAGTTGGTTCCTCAGGAAAATGCTATTGAAAGGAGAAATGTGGATGACTCTTGCAATATGTCTGACATTTACTCTACAAAGCAGGAGCTTCTAAAGGTTTCAATGGGGGACTCTACCAAGCCTAGGATCATAAAAAACAAACAAAGCTGATAAATTGATAAATTCTTTTTAACAATTTAGTTCTCTCTTTCTCTCTCTCTCTCACTCTCGCTCTTGCTCTCACTCTCTCTCTCTCTTCTGGAAGTAAGAATCAAACTCATAACCTTGCACTTGCCAATCAGGTGCTTATGCCACTGAGCTACAACCGTGCCCACCACTTAGTTTTATAAACTATAATTACTTAAAATGTCTGTCTGTATTTTATTTCAAAATATTCTGCCTGTGGCTGTAAGTCCTCAAGATAAAGTTCTCTAATCTTCATCAAATGATGTTATGTAGGATATTACCAAAAGACACATACAAGTTTAGTATCTGTTTATTAATTTCTTAGTGAGTTTTGATACTTTCATAGTCTTAAAATGTGAGCATTGATCAATTCAGAAATCAAGAATTATTACTTGAGCAGAATAATCATAGTTAATTTAAACTTACTTTTAGAAATGCATGAAAAATTTTCTAACAAATAAGCATCAATGCAAAACATCAAAAATGATTTTGAAGATCTATGTGATTCTAGTTATACTACTTCTTTGAAGTTACTGTTAATAAAAAGTTAGAGCTATTTAGAATTTTTAAGAAGCTGCTGAAAACACCATTTCAAAGAACTGCAGAAACTTCTCCCTGGCAGCTTGGGTCATCATTAAAATTTTCCATATATTCAGAGTTAGGGAACCTGCAAAACACACAAGGATTGCACATAAACTCCGGGAACATTTTTATCTTCATCTGGAAATATACGATTGATTGATTTTCTTTCATTTATTTTCTATTAGTTACTGATAAAATCATGAACCACACTAAGAAAAATAAACATGATAAATCTTTGGTACAGTATGAACAGCACCACTGAGCAATGGCTGTTCTATCAACTTTACTTCATTCTGTCTATGAGTTTAGTGCTGAAAACATAATTTCTACAAGACAAGCATACTTAGTAGTCACTGCTGTATTGACAGTGACCTTTATAAGTTATAAACCATGACAACTAATGTCCTTAATCATGCTCCTTTTATTCAGTGGAACTACACATATATTGACAAATGAATGTTGCATACTCGTTTTCTGGCATAACCCTCTGAGGAAGGTTTCCACACTTTGAAGGAGACTTGCTCTTCACTTCGTGTGACACAAAGCTGCCTTGTGGCCAATTTCCCACATTCCAGCCGTGACTCCAGTAACAACAAACTTCACACACCAAGAGTCAAACCTGAGTGGATGCTTTTCCTGCTCAAAGCAATACCACGGATTTTTTTTAAATGTATTTAACTTGTTTGTGTTGATTTGCTTATTTACATCTTAAAATTCAAAGGTTTTTTTTTTTTTTGCTGTTGAGAAAACACTAATAATATAATTATGCTTTTAGAATGGCTTGAAGTTTCAGTTGCATGGGTGGAAAATGGGAATGACATGGTAATTTTCAAACTTGTTATCAGATTTATTCTAAGGTTTACTCTGCTAGGAAACTTGGTATGGGAAGTAATAGAGCCAGACTTTTGTGTTGACGAATGGCAATAGCGCTTCATCCTAAGAACCGTGATAAGACATATTGATAGGAATTCCATTAATCACAGCAAGACTTTCATTGGAAATCCTTCTATTTTCTTTTCAGTTAATAGCAAATAGAAAGTGTTTTAAAAAGCAGTGCAGGTGACCAAATGCAGCATATGAGTGGGTATGTGGAAGAAAAGTGTACTTTATTAGATGTTACACATTCCAAAGTCCAATACAGGAACCAGATGAGAGGTGGGACCAGGGATGTGAGAACTGTGGTTGTTTGATGGTCCTGCCATACAGCAAGGTGGTATTGCTTAACAAATGGAAGAGACCATCAGAATTCCTTCCTGGAGTCTATGTTGTGACTTTATGCTTCTGGTGAATTAATCCCTTAGCTATCATTTCAATACAGTCTTGATCATTCAAACTTTTTAATTCAATGCTCACCTGTGTATCTGTGCAGGTCACCGATAACATCTAGAGCCACCAGGACGAAGTTCTGAAGACCAGTGAAGTTGCTGATGAAGGGGGCTACATCAGCACTGGTAAGGACTCTGGGGGGGAGCCCCTTCTGGAAGTTGTAGGTTCTAATCAAGGTAGTGGGAACCCGAGAGGCAGCCAAATAATTCACAGAGACAGCCCAGTTCTGCCCAAAATTTGCTTCTTCTTTGGAATAATATGTATACCTAACACAGAAAGGGAAATATTCATTTATGATTAGTCACCTCAGAAATTTAACCTCACTTTCCTGAGAAAATTTTATCTCTTCCAAACAAACATATTTAATATTTCTACTATTTAAAAGTACTTTTCATACTGTGAAGATTTTACCCTACTGATCAGGAGATGTGAAGGTACATAATTCAATGTGAAATGCAGGAATAAATCATTCCACCTCTTAATAATATTTAATTGTGCACTTAATATATTTAAATTGGTCTGTTTCCACTTGAAAACCATACAACAGCTAGATGAAAGAAAATGCTTAGATAAACATTAGCTTATGTAATATAGAGATAAATATCAAAAGTCTGTGTCAGACATTTTCCTGGATTCTGGTATCCCTTTCAAAACCCTTGATTTTCCTGAAGCAAAGAAGTTGCAAAAACATTGAGCATTCTAATGAGACAAGATAATTTTCCTGTTAATTTTCAAAATTCTTAGAATTTTTTCTACTAGAGGAAATGTGTATAAGGCTGATATTCTAAGTCATTTTTTTCTAACTCATTTTTGTAGGGAAAATGACTCCAGTGAAAAATAGTAAATGGAATTTCTTGTGTCTTTGTGCTTTAGGTTTGCACTCGTGAAGATCCATCCCAGGTTAGTACATCCCCAGAACTCTTTTACTTCTCTTTGACACAGTCTTGCTACCTCTCCCCATTTTTAATCCTTCTGCCTTCAGCTGAGAGTAGGCAGATTACAGGTGTGCGCCACTACACCAGTAATTATACGATGACGTAATTCATGGCTATGGGCTGTATGACCAGTAACAGAACAGAGATACTTAGACATTCTCCAAATATTTTTCTGTCATAAGATATGTTGTGCACTGCTCACGTGGCTCACCAGGAGCATTTTCTGTCAAATCTCATCTCAGATGTCACCTCCTTCACTAAGTTTTCCAGCTCTTTGAGATGAAATCAAACACTTCCCATTCTTCTATATTCACGAGGTACTGTCTCCATAGTTAAAGAGTTATTATATTAGACCATTTTCTAATTTCTCATCAGCTTTAATTTGCCAGCACTTCTGTGGGATTCACCAGATATATAATGGGTTTTTTTTGTTTGTTTGTCAGTGTAAGGTAAACCATAGCATAGACAAGAGAACACATATGCTTTCTACTTGACTCCCAGGCAGGTGGGATTCTCCCTGCCAGAGGTGGCCAGGTGGGCAGAGTTGGATCCATGAGGACGTTTGTACAGTGTGAGTTGAATCCCACTGATACATCACAGTTGTCTATCAAATAATGATTGCAGGAAATAGCAGTTCAGAAAGATTTTAAGCAAGGGCCACATAGCCCTAACAGTGTCATACCTGTTCCAGACAACCAGAAAAATGTGTGAAATCCTGCCACAGTAGAATATTTTAAGGTTAACAGGGAAATCATAGCCAAAAGATTGTCAGCCACTAGTTTTTACAGTTCTCTGTTCCAGACAATCAGAAAAGGGCTTACAAGTCTTCTGTTGTTGTTATAAACCTGAAGGAGGCCCCATGACCCCAGCGACTCCATATTTTTCTCTCCTGCCTTGTTCCTTCTTTGGGTCACTGCCCTGTCCTCATTGTCACTGCTAGCTCGAGTTCCAAGACAGAAGGTCTTACAGCCTCAGTGGAATTGTTCCTTTAAACTCAGTTTGCAAGCCTCATGCATGGCAAACAGAACAGCGCTCAGAGTGAGAGGGCAGAGAGGGCCACCAACTCCCACAGACTTGGGATGCTGGTCCTACCACTCTCTAGCTGCCAGAATGGATCACTCATTCATGCATTATTAGCAAGTGAAATATTTTTGAAATAAGTTATATTGATTGACGATGTAGAGTGTGCCTAAGGAGAGTCACAAGGAGAGAAAACATTCTCTCAGGCTTTCACAGACAGCAAATTGGTTAAGCAATGGCCATGATTCATCCACATGGCTGACACTGACAAAGGATCTACAATCTGAGGTACAGGGTTTCAGAATAAAACCTGAGAGGATTTGACTGACCTCATCAGATCCAAAAGCTACAATTCTTATTACATAGGTCTTGTTTTTTCTTGGTCTTTACCATCCAGCAGAAAAATATAAAAACAAAGTACAAGAAATAAAGCCATGGTGTTATGTTGAGCTGTAGGGGACTCAGGCCAACAACTTCGGACATTGCCAGTCAAGTGGAAGACCCAATACTATTATGGATTATTGGACTAGTTTGGAATATTTTGCTGAGTTCACACACCTATAATATTTAAATGATGGAACTAAACAAAAATATGGGATACAGATGAATGACCATTTTGTGTCTGTGTATTCAAAATGGTTAGGATAGATATGTAGCTACATTCTCTTAATTCAAGGAATAGAGGGATTTGGTCTAATAGTGTTTGTAAGTAGGATATTATGTCTGCATCTTGTACAACAAATAACCACTAGGAAGGCAGTATGCAATGTGTTAATTATTGGAACTGTCCTATCAATTTGATTTGAAGCTGTCTCATTGCTATTTATTTCTCAAAATTATGGAAAAAAGAAATAAGTTATATTACAGGTAAGTACTTACTATACCTTCCTTTATTCACTCCTAATACTTAAATGTACTTAGGGTTTTTTATTTTACTTAATACAGTGCAGAATTTTTTAATTTCATTTTTAAAAGTTTAATGACACCTACAGGGAAGAGTCAAGTTAAAAGTTCAGGAAATCAAATGTGTTAATAAATTTTTTTGTCATAATTAGTGAAGATACCACCCTACTAATTGCTAATAAAATGATTGCCTTTTTATTTAGTATGCTTGTAGTGGAAAAGGTCCTATACAAATATAAAGTTATGCCACCTTTTTATTTCATGATATTTTGGAACAATTTTTAAATCAACCACCCTATAAAAGTTTTTCCAATATAATTCAATTGCAAAAATAAAAATAAATTCAAGGTCTTTGCATGTCTAAATCTATAAGAGAAAGGAAACACATATAAAAAGAAAAAAGCCTATAAGTCTAAGAACTTTCAATACTTAAAATATTCTTGTTCATAAAGTTGCATTTTTCTATTAATTTATCTTTTTATGAAACTGGAAAGACTCATAAATAAGAAATATAACCCATACAAATCTTTTTCTGTTAATCAGAATATTAATCTGCAGTGCAGACCCTTGCCGGATGATGACCTCGTCTGTGTTCCTAACTGTAGCATAGAAAGAGCACAGGAGTCCCATCTGTTCTGAAGGTCATAGCCCCACACTATATCACTGCCAAGGGACAGAGCTAGACTCTGCGAATGGATTAAGCTTCTTCACCGTCCAACTTATCAGCAAACTCCTGGAGATGTATCAACAGGAAGAGGAAGAAATCCTGGTGAGCCAGCTACCCACGGAGCTATGCACCTTGCAGGACGATAATGTAGGTGGGAAAAGCAGCAGTGGGCGGCTCTGCGGGAAACAGCCCTCTCTGCCTGGGGTGCCCACATACGTGTTCAGTGCCAGTGAGTTCTCCCTTTGTTGGGTCTGCTATTTCTACCCCATTCCTCACGATGGTGGTGGTCTCACCCTCTAGAGAATGGTCTTCACCCGGGAATCAGAATTGCTTCTATAGCTTCACTTTCTGATATTATAGTGAATGAAGTAGCTTACCAATTATCTAGGCTGTGTTGTTTGCTCATCTTAACATTAGCTGATACTTCCTCAAGTATATGTGATGATACATATTTAAAGTAATATATTTAAATATTTAAAACAATATTAAACATTATAGAAATTATCCACATGTGTATATTCTATTTTGGTTTCTGTTTTGAATTTTTGAAAAAAATTATTTATTTGGTACAGGGTCTAGCTGCACAGCTCAGACTCATAGTGATCCCCATGTCTCAGCCTCCCCAGCACTAGGATTACAGATGTCCGTCCCCACTCACAGTTTCAGTGGCAGTCATGGGCAGGGCCGGAACAGCATGAGGTTCTGATGTCAAATCCAGGTCCTTGCGCTTGCCAGGCATGCACTTAGACCACCCAGCTATCTCCCAGCCCCTTCTATTTCATTTCCTAGTGTCAGAATATTCCTTTCATTCTACAGTCTTTTCAACACAATATTTTTGTCTCAAATATTTTGGGCCCTCTTCATCCAATGATTTCTAAATATTAACATCCTGCTAAAATATTTCAACCTCATCACTAATTCCTAATAATGGGACTTATTATTAACCTTAAAGTTCAAAATTACTGCCACACTATCAGAAGAAAAATGCATAAAGAAAAAACAAGCGAGAGCAACAATAAAGCAAATATAGCATTATTACAGATCAATACTCATTTTTACCTGTCTTCAAAACCTTTAATGGAAACTTCCAAGGAGGCAACGTGTGCATTCCATAAGTATTTCAACAACTGTTCAAAGGTGATAGACGATGTCTGCATGTGCTAAGGGAACAGGAGGAGCTCGTTAGCGCGTCAGCTGCCTGGACTCCAGCCTCACTCCGGCCTATGTGTGAGCAGGACGCTAGCGGATGGGAGACGGTTGTTTCTCTCTCTTTTTTATCTATTATTTTATTTTTTTTTAAATAATTTCACTGAGAAATAATTAGCAGAAATTAATTCAATTGAGATGAAGAATACAGTTCAAAGAATTAACGAATCAAAAAGCTAGTTCTTTGGAAAATTAAATAAAGTTGATAAGCCCATAGATAACCTCATCAAAAAGAGGAAAGAAAAAATTCAAATAGAATAGAGACTGTTGTTTCTAATAGTGAACAGGTACAAGGCTTCTTGTGCTCGATAAAAGGTGCAAGCATGCACTACTTTTAGCAAGGCACGTCCACCCAGAAGCAATGAACTTCAAGCACTTTCAAAAGCTCATATTTTACACCGGCCTGGAGAGTTTTTTCTTTCTTTCTTTCTTTCTTTCTTTCTTTCTTTCTTTCTTTCTTTCTTTCTTTCTTTCTTTTTTTTTTTGCCAGTTTTTTCCATAAAAATAGAATTGTCATAAAATTTTAGAATATAAGACAACTATTTGTTTGAATGTTAGATTTAATGTTTCAAGTGGTGAAGTGATAATCTAACAAGCTGTTCAAAATATCTCTTTATCAGTGACTTCAGTCCACACCTTTTTAATCAATCGACTTTAATTTCATCATAAAATATTTAGCCCAGAACAACATACAATAATTTTGTTCTACCGACAGGTTGTCATTTTAGTTAGTTGAATTACATTGATTTGTTGTATAAAACCAATGCTATATTCACATTTCATTTTAGTTCTCATAGTTGACCTAAAGTTCAAATTCACCATGCCAGCCTGTTAACCTTATAGGCAAATACCCCTAATGATTATGATTCTTGATATCATTTATTTGAAGTGAAAAGAGTGGGCAAATTTTGTGTTAATATTATACTGGGATAATGAGTATTACAATTTATTTCTAACACATGTCCCAAAAGTCTCTTGCGTTCAGTGGTGGGACTTTCAGAAGGTGACTACATCACAGGAACATTATCTCCCTCAATACATGAATCCATTGATCAGATCATAATTCCATAAAATGCCTGCCAGTCCAGCCCCACCCCCAGGATATGCTGAGATTGAGACTGGGTGTGGTGGCACCTGCCTGTAATCTCAGCTCGTGGGAGGCTGTAAACAAGTGGATCACTATGAGTCTGATCTAGTAGTGAGACCCTGAACACCCCATAGACCCTTCCCTGAAATGAAAAAAAAAAAAAATTCCATAGAATTATTGGGAGGTGATGAAAGCAGAAGGTAGGATGGAACTGCAAGGCAGAGACCACAGCTCGTGGCTTCGGGGATGGTATCCCATCTGTGGCTTCCTCTTCTGTGGATCTTTCCCTCTCTCTCTGCGTCCTGGCTGCCACAAGATGAGTAGCTTGGCACATACTCGCACTTCTGCCTTGAGGGTTCTGCCTTGCGACAGCCCACAGTGAGGGAACCAGCTGACTATGGGCTGCATCGTCCATCCTCTACATGGATATTTCTTAAGTATCTGGTCACAATGACCAAAAAGATGATGCAGGGTAATGACATGCAATGCCCACCATAGCACGTATTATTACTATATTTGGCATAACAGTTTGCATTTTCATTTTAAGAAAACTATTGCACAATGTAAAAAAAAAAAATCCCAGACAAAATGCTGTATACATCCAAAGGAATTTCTTGCCATGAACTAGGGATATAAACCATAAAATTTGATAAAGGAACCTGGAAAAATGTTCTCCACTCGTTTATTATGTCAGGAAAGGTGGCACGACAGCCAGAAACATCATAGCAGAACTTCGCCTGGTCCTTGGGGGGTGGCAAGAGCGTGACTTGGTCTGCTGAGATATCCATTATGCCGGAGTCGAGGGCAGCGAGGAAGGGCAGAACACTCAGAAAATAGTTCATATCTGAAGGAACAAAAGGCTCATTATGACCCCCAGCAGGAATGTCACCAGCCAGCATGTGTGAAGGCAAGACACACAGGTCTAGAAGCATGTGACAAAAGTTAGGCACTGAAAAGAATCGCAAAGTCCACCTAAGAATTCAACTGCTATGAATTCTATACTCACTTTCATATACTGTTTGTAGTTCTTGACCTAAGCTTTTAAAATAAAAAATAATTTAGATAAGTTTGGTAATCTTTCTTGAAAGCATTAAACCAAGAAGGAAGAAAATTATGAAATAATACACAGAATGATAGAAAATTTTACATAAGGTTGTACTGTGCCTTGTACTTTTTTCAAATATTCTAGCTTAAAAAATAAATTAGATAACATAAATTATTCTATTTCACTCTGGTTTTGATAGATAAGTATTTTCTATTTCACAGATGTAAGTTTAATTTGTAAGCATAATATCACTAGGTCTGTGCTTTATGCTATTTTTCTAAAGCAATATTTTTAATGTTTTCTGGTTATAGCTCATTCGGATAATAATTAGTTGGATTGATGAATAAAAATTATCATTCTACTTATAGCATATCTATTCAATCAAATTTAGATTTCTTTTTCTTTTTTGGAGGTAACAGGGATTGAACTTGGGACCTTGCGCTTCCCACGTAAGCACTTATTCCACTGAGTTATCTCCCCAGCCAAATTTAGATACCTTAATCTAGTTAGAATCTAGGTTTATATTGATTCCAGTGGAAGTGATGTAAAATATGTTTCCTTATAGACATCACTCCTGAATATAGACATGGGCCCTAGTCTGAGCGGCTTACTCTTCAGTCTACCAAAGTATCTGAGAAAAGTTTCAAAAATCAAGATCTGTGAGCATGACTCTTGGAGAATTTCTGAAAAAAAAGATTCAGCATGGCGTATGGAAAAAGAGGAACACATGTGCTCTATGTGTACATGTTCCATGTGTGAATGCTCTGCATGCGCATGCTCTGTGTGCGCATGCTCTGTGTGCGCATGCTCTGTGTGCGCATGCTCTGTGTGTGCAAGTTCTGTGTGCACACGCTCTCTGTGCATGTGCTTTGTGTGCATATGCTCCATGTGTGCATGCTCTGTGTGTGCATGCTCTGTCTGTATGTGCTCTGTGTGCACACGCTCTGTCTGTACATGCTCT